AAGATAAAATCTTTCACCATATAAACCTTGTGGTTCTAACCTTTTCTAATATATTTAGAAATCTGTTCATTTATTAGTTTTTTTATTCACTTCAAAAACTGAAATCAACCTTCCAGTACTTCTCATAAATTAGAATGAATTTTAAAAGTCTAACAGCACGACACAGTATAAAATCAGAATTCTGCTAGATACCCCATGTTAAATAGAACAATAACACTCTGAAAGATACATAAAATAATGACAATAGGTTCCGGAGAAAACATATCCTATGGTGAAATTCATAGCTGCAAGGAAGGTTTTGCACACTGTTTAAGACATACAGTCATGTGTAGGGTTCTGCTATCAGAGGAGGTGCACAAAAATGCTAATGAACCCTCCAACATGCTGCAGAGTCAGTTCTGCTTTGGGAGCTATTTGATCCTGGTCCAGTAGTGCCCTAGGGAATGTCTGCAGATGTGTATTCATAAGGAAACAGAAGAACCCAGAGAATGTGAAGCTTCGAAAATAACCCTCAAACCAGCAGGATGGCATGGAGGGAGGGAAGGGGCATACATGCTCCTGAAGATTGATTCTGAAAGTGTGAAAGTCATCTCCCAACTTACTGGCACAATACTGGGTGTCTGGACTAGCGAACTCCTCCTTTTAAGCATATCAGAATACTGAACTGGAAAACATTCAGATTCAAGTGTAAAATCTATGAAGTTCTTCAACAGTACAAACAAGGGGAATGTCAGTTAAGCCCATTCATTCATCCAAAGTCTGTTAATTGCATGGTTTATAAACAAATATTTTTCCGTAACAATTATTTTACTGTCATCAGCTGCACAAGTTCCTCAGCAACTGAAAAATCAATTCAGTAATTAATACTGAAATCAATATCTTCATTCCAATTTTGTTTACTTCTCTAATTGACCGAAGATCAAACCTCCTTTTTGAATAGTGACCAATTAATTGAGTAGAAATAAATTATCGGAATCTTTTTGGATGACTACTTTATGATGTATGATGACACAAGTCATTACCTAAAAGTATCTTTTCCTCTTTGCGTAAAAATCTCAGTAACCAGCTTGGCTGTAGGTCTCGTTCTACGTAAATACTTTTTTTGGATTAATCATCTCCACTGCACGCAACAGGGCAGGCTCAACTTAAGACTATTAGAACCAATGAGTAAAAAGCAGGCACCAAAAATTGTTTGTAGTCAAATTAGTTAGAGATATTACTTTAATAATAATACTTTTTTCTAAATAAAATTTATGTTCATCCACCAGAACCAAGAGCCATATGTAACATATGTTACAAAAAGTTTGGGTGGACAGCGTGCTTTGGCAAAATCCATAGACATAGTTCAAAATTTAAGATTATAGTATTTGATCTCTTTGATTGGCATCGTTAATTATCTTCAAGCTTTGCATAGCCTCCATGGTTCACCGCTTTTAGCAGAAATCAAATCCCCAAAATACAATGATGCCAAAGCAGAGCTTCTGCATAAAGGCTTGTTGGCATCTTAAGCTAGAAGAAGTTTCCATTTTTCCATAATGTAGTGAAATGTAGTTTATCATCCTGTTCCTCTGTCCACAATTTTCTCATTTATGAAGAATTCCCACCTGACCTTCAAATATAAAACATCTTGTTTCTGAAGTAACAGTGTAAACTGTATTCTGTCATGTCCCTCATCTACTTGTATACTTGTATCTTGGCATATTATGTATTCTCATTATCTCCTGTGAACTTCATTTGCAAATGAAGGGTATCTAAAGAAACAACATATGACTCTCTTGTCAGCCTGCCTTACACTTATTTCTTCGAGGATCAAATCCTGCAAAATATCACTCTTCAAGCAGATGAGTAAAATATAATAATTTTCCTCTAATGAAAACATGGATGACACTAATGCTAATATTAAATTTCTTTACTAAACATATTTTAGTATATTTTAGTTTAATTATATAGAATTTAACAAGATATAGACAATCACAGATGACTAAAATATGTAATGCATTTGCTTGAAAGAAATAAACGTATACCACTCATTTGACAGAACGATTAACTATAGAAGTTTGAAATGAAAGCCATTATGCTACTCTTTTAGTATGCTCCTTTCACTACATAGTATGTGCACCACTTAGGAGAATTTAAGTGGTATTGTTTCTTTCATTAAAAGGAACCTGCCACTAAAACAAGCCTCTTTTTGAATAGCTGTCTTTTGGTTTGATTTTTGTTTTGTTTTTGTTTGTTCCATAATTAACCTTTGTACATGCTGTTCACACAAGGGTACCAATTCACTGTGATCACCTCCAAGCAAAGTTCGAGTGGGGGCTAACGGTGTCTTAAACTTCTATGGAGGAAAAATATGGCAGAGTTAGTGGCTGTGATCTTTGTGACACAATCAGATTGAAATGAGATTAACCAAAATGCCCTCGGAGACTTAGCTTCAACAACATCACATGCTGCTGTGAAAGAAAGGACAACCCAAGGTCACTTATATTTACCTGGGTGATTTGGAAAATGTCCTATTACCTATGTTGCTAGGATATGGGATTTCTTTGCTTTTAAAATGTTTACTTTGACTTTTCAATTTCTTATTAGAAACATGGCACTCTGTTCTTCTCTGGAAGAAATATGAAATGGAAACAAAATCCCAAAACAGTAAGGTTTGGTAGCACACCAACAGGTCCCTAGCAGTTTGAAGTGTTCTAAATTCTGGGTGAGCAACTAGAGATGCATTATAATAAAATAGCTTTCATGGAGGATGTATCCTTATAATGATGAATTTTTATAAGGGAAGTAGTCAGCTGTGTTAAGATGGTATTTTACACCTGAAGTTGAAAAACTGATTAAAAAAAAAAAGAAGTCAATCTACTAAGATGGAATTCCTATTAAACTTACTGAGATCCCTGTAGAGGTGCACCAAACTCTCCAAACAGAGCACAATGCAATACTGTGACTTTCAATGACTTTTAAGTCACAACCACAGGAGAGGTATGACTATGATCTTTTCCAGAAAATACAGATCTGAGGAGGTAAGCACTACTTTCGGATTTCAAACTTAGATCATATCTGGCCTGAGTTTTCAGAATAGCCAAGTAACCACATGTCCAACTTCATCAGCTCACATTGGGTTATGAAGACAGACACATTACACATTGGAAAGCGGGGTAGGTTTTTTTGAGAAACCTAAAATTCTTTACCAGTTTTGAAAATTCTGCCTACTAATCTCACCTAATAATCCAGTGATAGATATAAGAACAGAATCAAAGTTTCATGACATCCATTTCCACGTATTAAGTGAAATTAAAATGATCATTAGAGAAGAGGGAGCCAGTTAACAGAACTGCAGTCTATATTTAGACATTGATACATCCATTTCATCAGAGAATATATTAAATGTCACAATCTGTTGCACAGCCAATTAGAGAGGTAAGCACAACAAAAAAGACTTTTCCTGCTGGTTTTGTTACCAGCACAGCATGGTATCATAAAAAGAGACAAGGCTACCCAGCCAGGAACAGAAGTGAGAGGAAGACTGCAATAGTTTTGGCTTAACCAGCTAAAATATTTTAGCCTTGAGTTAAGATGAAATGCTGATATAAAAAAACCAGTTCATTTTAAAACATGTATAACAATAATTGAAATTCTCAAGAGTTAATAATTTGATCTCATATTTAAGTAAAGGATCTGCAGAACAAAGCAAGCTATGGATTTTACCTGCCAGAATAATATGCTAACTGAGGCATAAGTAAGAAAACAGTATAATTCTGAATCAAGTGTTTGACAGGATAAATTTTTAAAAACAAAACTATTCTGAAAAAGATGAAAAGATCATGTGCAAACAAGTCTTCTTGGCCCCCAACCTTTTCAAATGATATAACAGCTATTTTAGTTTAGTGATCTGTGTAGGTGATACTGCAACTATCACTTATCAAAATAAACCTATGCCATTTTAAGGATATTTTAATTAATAAAATACAATATAATGCCACACAGTAAGTATTGTGATTATTAACCAAGATGAAACAAGTATTTTCCTAATCTAGAAGGTAAAGCAAACCAATAGGCTCAAAAATAGAAAGTTTAAACCACTGAAAGGGAAATACAATAAAACAAAAAGAATGAATCATACGAGACATCTGCATATTTTAATATACACGTTCTTATAAAACTGCTTGGTACAGACACTAGGTAAAATTGTTTCTCCCTCTCTTTCTATTTTAAGCAAAGACAAAGAATGTCAATGTTTTCCTTACAATAAATCAGATTTTTTTATGAGGAGGAAGCAGAAAAGTACCTTATAACAGAGAATCCTAAAATCGGTTTAGAACTGAACTGAATGGAAATCTAACACTGAAAAGTTTTGCGCAGTTAAACCTAGAAGGCAAGTATCTACCTTTAAGCTGTATAATACCAAATTACTTGTATTGTTACCAAGTAACTAAAGTTAAAATTTAGCCCTTTTTTTCACTTACACATATATTTCCATATTTTTTTCTGTTTTGAAAGATAAGTAACACTGATGCAGTTTTGCTGACAAAACACTTGCATTAATGAGCTGTTCTTTTCTTGAAGACAACTGAGGAGCTTTTCATAACCCAACAGCAGCAGGATATAAGCCTCTCAGAAAGTTATTACGGAAGCAACATAAGAAAATATATGAAACAGGGTATCTTTCCTCCCGGCAACCTGGAGCTTACTATGCAATTCCTTCTTTCTCATGAGGTTTATATTTCAGCCATTGGCTTGCATACAATTACGACACAATCAGCAGAAGCAATAGAAAGATCAAGAGATCTGCCTTAAATATGAGAGAAATTATTAAATACTTTTTTCCCCTCCATTAATTATCTTAACATTTAATCCAATAATTGTGTTTATGGGATAAAGTAGCTTAAGTAATGACTACATGTATTGCAGCCTACCATCTCTCCTGTGTCCCTTGTTGAAATCATTTAATACAGAATAAATATCATGAAGCTTTCAACTTGAAAAATCAGTATTTCTCATACCTTTTGTTTGATGATCATGTCGTTGATATCATCAAGATCACCTACTATCACTCTCTGAGATTTTAGCTCTCGATCCAGTCGAGAAAGCCAGTCAGTGAGTTCTGCCCATGCCTTATTGAAGTCAGCCAAGGCTGGAACCTCCAAAAGCACAGAAGATGGCATTTCTGGTTTGAAGGTGGTGGTTTCCTTGGTTACCCTGGTTTGTGTATCCACAGCAACAGTTTCACCAGAAGTTACTGAAATAAAAGAAATGTGAAAATTACTGAATAAATGAAATATGATAAATGTTTATTTCAGTAACAGAATTTATGCAGCAGAAAGGATAACACAGAAATAAGCTCGTTTCTTGATGTTATATCTACTTGAAATATGGAAATTAAATATAAAAGAATATATTAATTCAGCTTTCCAAAGTATTTCTATTATAATATACGATTACAATTCAGTATTCTCAGCATATCCAAATTTCATCCTTAAAAAAACAGTGGGAGATAGGAACACTAGCAAAGTTCTCAGTGTAATAAGAACCCCTCACTCAAGATCGCTGAAGTATTGCTATACATGAGTCATCTTCTGAAATCTAGTAGTGTGGTTGTTAAGGCTAGAGGCAAATTGAAAAAAAAGTTGGTTTCAATATCCAATATATCACAGCATGACCATGTATCTAGAAACAGGCTTCTTGCATGGTCTCCAGTCACTCTGCAGCTATGAGTTTGTCTCACCAACAATCTTCTCACTTACTGTTACCACCAGATATTTCCCACAGGCTCTGTAACCAGTATGGGAATCTTACACAACAAGAAATTCAGCCTTGGCTGATTTTTGATTTCTTTTTTCCTCTTCATAACTTGAAACTATTATGTGCTATTTTCTGGATATTTGTGGATTTTTTTCCTTCTATTTGGAGAAGATGGACACATTTTCTCCTTTGTGTCCTTTCTTGCTCTATTGGCTGGGTTTAAAAGAATCTGTTCATTATTCGTTGCTTGGATTGAGCAACTACACGACACTGAAGCACCGTATCTTTCTCTGCAGTCAAAAATTATGAGAGCTGCCACAGATAGCTACCATTAGACAGAGAGGCATGTAACATGAAACTATTCAGAATTTCAAGGCAGATGTTTGATTCTTGATTTTTGTTATTTCCAAATAGATGTCCATAAACTGTTCAGCTGTTTTTGCCCTCCTGTTCATCGTGCAAAAGTAATTCACTATGCACAATATTATGGCAGATGAGGCTACACTGAATTGTATTTGGTTATTTTTTTCTCATTTTAAAAAAAGTCCAGCCAAACAAGAAAAGCACTAAAATAGGGAAAACACAAGAACACATGGCGCTATTTCACTGAAGTGCTAAAACATTAGAAAAGAGAGACTCTAAATACCAACCCTTTAAGGTAGCTACAGAATCTCTATCTGAATCAACTGCCTAAACAACGCAATAGCTAAAGCAGGAAAGCTGAAATAAAGCTGTGTGGAGTGTGCCCTACATTTTCTGCAAATGAACTGCAAAATATGGTTATTGAAAGCCAAATATAAATTTGTAAAGGAACAAGATGTTTCTTTGCATTTTTCCCAGTCTCCTTACAGAGTATAGAAAACCTATTTCCTGCACTCTTCCTGTGAAGTAGCTTGTCTTTAACAGGAAAAAAAAACCCCAAACAACTAAAAACAGCGTCACCCCATGCACAGTAAGGGTGGCTTTTTTTTTTTTTTTTTGCTTTCAAGTATTTCTGAGAGTCTGATGGTTTTCCCCACTGGCATTCATGCCATTTCAACAAAGTCTGTCTGAAGTCTGAAAATGCAAGTAGCAGGTGAAGGTTCAATAGTTTGGCCATAAAACCACTTGAAACATTAAAACAATCAGTAACATTAACTGATCTTGCCAAGAAATTTAGCAGCTCTTTTTCACTAATGAGAAAGGGTTTGAGTTACTTCACTGGGGAATCAGTGACCCTCTTGAGCGTTGTAGAAAAGGAAAAACCTGTACGCAAGCATCTAAATGACTGTCACCGTAAAAGCACCATAAGATGCTGTCAGCATTAAAAATACTGTATGATTACAAACAATTTACCAAATCAACTAACATATATATTTATCTAGCCTGAATAAATGGCAATGTTATGATACCAAAAGTGACTCCTGCAAATGATGATTTTTGACGACGTACACTGCAATGAAATGTATTGATCCATCCATCCATATCATTATTGCATTTCATTTCTGAAGTTAAATTGTTGTACTTTTCCTTTCTGTACTTTAAAAACCACATACCTGTGGATAACTATGAAGTAAATTAATTATTGTAAGAGATTGTTCTAACAGCAAGTTTTTAATTAAAATCACACAAATAGATGAGAAAACGGACCTCTTTTTATACAAGGAAAGAGGTTTGTAACAGGTTTTTTGTAACATGGTATTGTTTGCTATAACAGAATATCTTGTACAGTTAAAGACGTTCCTTTAACACCAAAAGGAAAACAGATCACCTTAAAGGATCTCTTTCCTTCACCCTTTTTTTTCATTTTTTAAAAAATATTTTTACACACAGATGTAAATAATTAATAATAACAATTGGTACTCATCAAGTTTTCTTTCACCTCTGTTGAAATTACTCCAGACATTTTCTGCCCTACTCTATTTATTTTTACCTAAATTATGCAAACGAAGAAAAGATTAGCTCTACTCAGTACTGGTGAGGCCACATCTGGAGTACTGTGCCCTGTTCTGGGCTCACCAGTACAAGACAGCTATAGAGCTACCAGGGAGAGGACAGTGAAGGGCCACAATGATGATTAAGGGACAAGGAAAGCCCTAGAGAGCAGAGACTGTTTAGACTAGGAAAGAGAAGACTGTGGGGAGATCTTATCAACATGTATAAATATCTGAAAGAAGATGGAGCCAGGCTCTTTCCAGTGGTGCCCCGTGACAGGACCAGAGGCAACTGGTACAAAATGAACATCACAAAAAATGTGCTATTAGTAGTTACCTAGTTTAAGCGAACTGGCACTTAGAACTTACAAACTTCAGAAGTCTGAAATAGCTCCCAGAAAATCACAGAGAAAACAAAATATTAGTCATCTATTTCTGTCTTCACCGCTCTGTCCAGAAAATAAGGTGAATTCAAAAATGGTCACAGAATAATCATTAATATCCTCTGACTTACACACAGTGTTTTTCTGGCAATATAGTAATTGTAATTTAATAGGAATGCCTTGACTGTATTCTTTTAATGTTTACAATCAGAAGGCTGCTGTATTTTTCATCTTTGTTCAGTGGGGGGAGAAAACGGCAGAGAAGTCTTTGAGCATGTCTGTGTCTGGTGAATGTCATTTAATTGTCTGAAGGACAAAAAAAAATGTGCAACCAACAGCACCAACTAAAAATAAATAATGAAAACAATATATACCATAGTTTTCTATAGATTTCAAGAGGTTTTATTTTGTTTGTTTTAATGTAGTCCTTTCGACCTTTCTGTGCTTGATATGTTTTTATGCCTTCCTCTCTCTAAGCTGGTACTAAAAATCTGCCTGCCACCTAGAGAAAATTATATACCAGAGACATAAATTCACAGAATTGTCTATATTGTCTCACCCCTGGATGGGAATTCAACTCCACAGATCAGTCACGATTTCCTGTAACAATTCAAAATGTTATCTCAATTCACCCTCTCCTCACATGAACTCCATAATACTGGAGATCAAAGTGTTTCAGAGCAAGGCTCATCATTTGCAGTGAGGTATTTCAAACCATGGTCAAGACACGTGTAATTTGAAAAATTAGTCGAATGTTTCATTCGAGAACTTTACCAAAGCAGTTAAGTGTGAAAAGTATGCCTATGCATTGACTTCCAGTCTTTACCAAGATGCTTAGGTTCACTTCCATGTGGCCTAAAGTTCATGTAAAGGCCTTGTATTTCCTCTGTGACTTCAGAGATTCTTAGACAACACGAAGACAGTTGCTTAGTTTGGCATTCACATAGGTTAAACAGAAATTGTCTTATCTCGGAGGAAATTTCTATTCTCATCAGTATTTCAGGTAAATTGAAGAAAAACTTTCTAAACTGGGCCTCTACAGACCCTCCACAAGTAGACCCAGGGTGTCTGACAAGACTGCCTGGCATCTCTTAACATCTCATATATTTTGCTCTGAGTATACACTCAAGAGTCTGCCAATTAATACTTAGTTATCCCCTAGTGGCACCTATTCCAGGGGAGAGTATTCCTAATCTTTTAACACTTGTGGGATTAATGCTCTGGATTTTGGCTTAGGTTTTTTTATCCCTTTGATGTAGTTCCTTTGCATCAAAAAATTTGAAATGCTACAGAGAGGACTGTAAGGTACTGGAAGTGCACTATCCACTGTAGTATCTTTAAAAGCTTCCAGATCTACCACTATGTACCGTTGCCTGCTGCTACTGAGGATGGTAATAACATGTTCCACTTTGACTGAGCAGTTAAAACATTTGAGTTATCAATTTATTTATAGCAATTACCTTTAGAAAGTAGTTGGACAGTATGTTTCTTTTCTGACATTTATCTCCCCTCAGAAAAAAACACACGAAACAGTGCATCTGTCCCTTATTTCTCTTTCTTTCATGCTTGCACAGATACAGCACGGTTCATTCAACAGAAGCATATAAATGATCAATTAAAATTAACACAGAATTATAAATCAAAATTAATTACACAATACGTAGCAACAGATCTCATTCAGAAGCAATTTATGCAGAACAGCACTGACAGTTTCTGTGACTGAAAGGGGATAGTTTGTTGAGTTTTGTTTTGCCTTTTTTATTTTCCCCAGGACAATCAATTTATAACAGCAAAACTAGAATCAAATTAATTTTTTCAAATATCTAAGTAGTAAATTGTATCCTACTGCAAAACATCAGAAATACAATTAAGGACTTACTCTTTCAACTTATTTGAAGGTTATATCAGTTCACTCCTGTGATATGATAAAGCACAAAACCAAAAGAACAATTGGAATTTAAGACATTACACCACACCAACCCATAGCTTTTAAGGTAAATTCTCGTTAACACTTCCAGCTGTTTAACAATGAAGGAAACAACACAGAACAGCAAAGGAGAAAAATTTAAAAAAAAAAAAAAAAAATCTAACAAAAAGCTGAAAAACAGTCTAACAACACTCTGAACT